AAAAGTACATGGGTCACACTTATTTTGGTTCCCTTCAAATGTTTTAGGACAGAAGTAATACCTGGCATAGTAATGAGAAGCAGTAATAAACATCATAAATGCTAGGTTTATTTAGAAGACCTCCATCTGGTAGCCTTCCTGCAAATCATTCCCCCAAGGAGGACATAAGCTTTTCCCTGCTGCAAGGGGCTGAGCCCTGCAAGCTCAGGCTGCTACAGCTGGTGTCCACAAAGGGAAGGTACAGAGGCCTGCTTCCCAGGGCACAGGAAGGGATGGAAACAGCTGAGTGCCCCCTCAGTCTCCCTAATTAAAAAATGGCATGCCTAGGGCATGTTCACCAAGGTGGTTTTTTATTACAGATCTGGGCTGCCCAGCTCATCTGCTTACAACCAAAATTCTCTTTAGCACGCTTATAATAAGTACAGGTCTGTGCCCTGATGCACTCTGATTCTGCAGTTCTAGTGCAGGAGCAGAGTGGGAACCTGCATTTTTAATCAGTACCCCAGGAAGTTCTGAGGAACCTGATGCTCTGGCAATACTTTGGGGGCCACTGGCTTAAACCAACATTTCTCAGACTGGTGTCACCAGATGCATTCTTGAGAGTCCCACAAAGAGAATTTTCACATTTTGTATTTTTATTTTAATAATATTTCAAATGTTAAGAACATTCTGGGGGTGCCTGGGTGGCTCAGTCTGTTAAGCATCTGCCTTTGGCTCAGGTCATGATCCCAGGGTCCCAAGATCAAGCCTCACATTGGGCTCCCTGCTCAGCAGGGAGCCTGCTTCTCCTTCCTCTACCCCTCTCCATTCCTCCCTGGCCACTTGTGTTCTCTCCCTCAAATACATAAAATATTTTTAAAAATTCTGAATCATTTGGATGATAATTTTATGACCAAACACTGCCACAAGACTTCCAGCAAATGTTTACATTCATGTTGTACTTTTAACCTTGTCTCAGGCTAGTGAGTTTTTATTTAGATCCAGACTTGATTTGAATTCATGTCAAAGTGAAGCCCAAATGCTATCTCGTCATTGGCTCAGGAAGGGCACAAAGGAAGGAAAGGAGCAGATTTTGACAAGTAGCATCAACAAATTGCATTTGGAGGGTCTATGGGATGTCCAATAACAGTGGGGAAATGGGCTTGGAGCTCAGGAGAATTCTGCAAAGCCAGAGATTTGGGAGGTGCTACACATAAGGCAGTAGCTGAAAACCTGTGTGGGTGACAACAAAGAAAGGAGGGACAAAGAAAGACAGGGACAGAACTCAGAAGCAAGAGGGAGGAACTGGAAGGAAGGTAACAAAAAAAGATTGGATAAGAGGTCAGAGAGTAAGGAGTGGAGCAGGAAGGAGTAACACCAGGAAGATAAGGGTGGAAACAGTTCTAAGATGAAGAAAACAGTGTTCACGTGAGTGGGCATTGTCCCTGATTTTACCGTCAGAGGAAGCAAGTTACAAAGCAGCCTGTTCAATGTGATCTCACTTGTGCCATCACAAGTTATGCATCTGAACACTTAGAGAAAATTTCTGAAAGGAACCAGAACAATAAAACCAAAACAAAAGGCTGTGGGTATCTCTGAGAATTAGATCAGGAGGGTGGAGTAGGGGAACTGTAGCTTTTATTTGGCACCATTTTGTTCGGTTTATATTTATTATTCTAAACATACACTACTTTCTCACTGATGTTTTAAACTGGCCAGAGCTATGATCTGGTAATTTAACCAGAGAGGACAAGAAAAATGAGACTAAAAAGAGGCCATTTTAGGGGCAAGAAGGTGGCACTGGTGACCCTTCTCAGGATGGTTACAGGTAAGAATGTGAAAGCTGACTGCCATCATCTAAAACACTGCTTCTCAGGCTTTGCCAGGCATAGGAATCACTTGTCAGAGTGCAGATTCTGACTCTATTTGTCTGGGATGCAGTGAGATTTCTAATAGGCTCCCACATAAGGCCCACATGACTGGTCCAATATTTTCGAGTTGCAAAGTAAAGAAATCTGAATGTAGGGAGTAGACATGAGTAGGAAGAGACCACTGTTTCCCAAAAAGTGTTCTCCAGAAGATGAACCTCAAGGAACTTGCTGATTGAAAAAAGTGCTGCAATTAAGCAGGTTGGGTAAAATAAATTCCAAACAGTCATCCCAATGAGTCACACTGCGTGTCAGTGTTTTATTGAGAATCTCTTTCTCGTCTTTTCACTTGGATGTTCCGGGCAGTCAAGGCTAACCTTGCAGCAGTGAGAACTTAGCTATGCTCTCAGAGTCTGATGCTCTTAAGAGGCCTTCCTGGAAGGTGTGGGGGAGCAGAATTACAGGACAGTGAGGGTTCCGGAGAGCACAGAGGAGGGAAACTGGAACATGACATGTCTCCAGTGCAACAGCACCAGAGCCTCTGAAAGGCAGAAAAACTCCAAAAATAGACCTCATGAGGCCATGCACACCAGCAAGCCCTGAAGCTCCTCGGCAGTATGTACTACAACGTCTTCAGATATTTGCCAGACCTTATTCTAAATAAGTCTGGACCTTTCTCAACTTAGCTTAGCATCAGCAGCATGGCTCCAAAACCAGGGAGATAAGCATACTGCGAGTACTTGAATTTAAATGCATTTATACTGCCAGCAGCTTCCGTGGGCAAGAGCGGGCAACCAACCTGACTTCACTGCTGACAGAGTCCTGCTTGACACGAGCACAATCCAAGTGCCCAATGACAGTGATAAAGAACAGCCTCGGGGAGGCTGGGCACCACTGATCCTCTCACCTGCTGAGACCGAGAGCAGGTGAGACCAGAAGGAACCTCGGAGCTCAAATTACATGCTGGCAGCACTGAGTCATCCTCCCAAGACCTCAGGTGTTTGGCTGTCCCAGAACGGCCTTTTAGACTCCTTTGTAGATAATGCAGCTGAGCAGTCAGTTTCGGCGGGAGACTAGAATTCAAAGGACCCCTCAGTGCAGAGAGCAGAGGTTATTCACCTTGGCATGCCTGAATCGTTTGAAAAGACTGCCACTCACTCCTCTCCACTGTCTCAGCTTGGCAGCAGAGGGTCCAAGCCATATGGGACAACTCACGCAGGGATGAGAATGACACCAGAATTGGCTGCAAGAGATGCTCTGAAGCCTTTGTATTCACAGCTGCAGTTTTCCGTGGCCTTTGCCCTTTATCAGACGGCTGGTCACTCTATCAGTTCCAGCTATCAGACTTGTCTCTCAGATTTACTGGGGAGAGAAATGGGCCTGCACAATTCTGTTTTCTCCTCATTAGCCTTCCCATGTATTTGCTTTTGAGAACAAGCATATTTAAATGGCACTGCACACATGATGACCGTTTCAGGGACATTATAGGATAAAATGGAAACACATGTCCATTCAAGTACAGTGATATGAACTTGTGCTCAGCAGGACTCAAGCAAGCTCCATGGCTTCAGGTCCCAAAGGGATGGAAGGTTGGTTGTGCTCATACTATTTTCCGGGGCTCCCCGCATTTTGTAGGGTCCTTCCCCATCACAGTCAGAGTGGTAGCAAAGGAATCCAAAATTGGTTTTAATCTTCACCTTAACAAACATACATTCCCACTTTAAATCTGTCATCAAATATCCTCACTGTTGCACACACTAAATACATGTTAAACTCTCAGGGAAGAGTTATTTGGGAAATCAACAGTCAATTCTATTGGACCCTACAGGATGCCACGTGTCTAAGCCACCAGCCACCATGCGCAGCAGGGTTATCTTTTTATCACATCCCTCTCAGTTTCCCCTGGCCCCGCCCCAGTTCCAGTGTGTTAAAGAATTTAGAAGCTAGCTTCTGATCTACAATGGGAAAGATGTGCCCACTATTTTTATATGAAATACTTTAATTGCTACCAATATCACTGAAGTTATTAGCATATACACAGGAAAGAGGGCATACCCTTGAAATAATTTATCCCCAAAGGCAAAATACCTTGGAAGAAGCAAATTAGCAGAGGAGGTGGGTGGGAGGGGAATTTGAATAAAGTTGTGCTTGGAGGGTTTGTTATAAAGTTCTACCTAGGGGGTATAGCTCAGTGGTAGAGCAATTGACTAAAGTTCTACCTGGGTGTTCTGCACCCCGGAACTGGAGAGACACTTCCTCCCTTCACTCAACACAGCCCATGGACTAGGCTGCACAGGGCCTAATTTATTCACTAACTCTAATTCCTTTCCTGAAGTCGGTAATACAGGTGCAGTCAGGTATATGGTAGATGATCTGGAAAGAAGAATGCTACACATTATTCACATACAGTGTCTGTAGGATAAAAATAAGAACTTCCATTTCTCCTGCATTTAAAGACTTCAACTCAAGGTTCCTTGTGGGAGAAATACAACGGCCAAATTGCAATCATTCCTAAATGATAAGTGACTTTAAAAATTAACTTAGATCTTGCTGAAGAACAAGAAGAATTCTGGAATTAACTCTGGTCCTTGTCCTTCTTGACTAGCCAGGACACCAAAACAACTGGACCGCATCAAGGTCCAAATCCCCGTTCCTTGGGTAAGAGACAGGAAGGTGCTGAGATCCCCGGGCCCACTGAAGAACCGGTGGGGCTGGTGAAAGCACATGGGTGCTAACGGCGGGTTCCAGCCTCTAGAGGATGGCGCCACTCGCCATCTCGGAGGGGTGGGAAGATGGAAGGGAGCCAGCATCCCTTCCCAGGTGGGGAAATGCAACCCTGGGGGGAAAGGAAGGACGCATTCATCCCGTTCAGGAGATCCAGGAGTGTATGTGGGAGTGCTCATTACTGGGGACGGGGCCTCTGCTAAGCCAGCGGGGCCACCTGGCGCACATGGCTCTGCCACCGAGTCCCAGCTGGGAATCTGATCCTCCCCGACCTCTCCTCTCCATCGTCCCCCGTTCTCTGGCCATCTCTTGGACCCGCCAGGACGGGGCGACAGGGCTGGGCCTGAACGGCTGCCCGACACTTCAGAGCACCCAGGGAGAGAAGGCTAAGCAGACGAGCGGCCTCAGGGAGGAAGGCTGTCACCCTACCTTGTTGTTTACTGAGGAACAGCGGAGGGGGTGCCACGCCAGGACCTGGCGGCTCGGGGCCCTTGGTGGCCATGGGGCTTTGGCTGGGACTCCCCGGGTCCGCAGGGTCCCGCTGCGCAGTGGGCCCCTCGGGCGGCGCTGGGGCTCCGTCCCCGTCCCCAGAGGGCAGCTCGGGGCGGCTCTGGGGGGCGGCCGAGGGGAACCGGGGCAGGGGGCCGGGCTCGGCCTGGCCGCCCCGGCTGGCGGTGCCCTCCTCGGCCCGGGAGCCCGGCTCCTCCCGGATGGCGTCCAGGGCGGCCGGCTTCATCGGGGGTGAGTCCTGCTCCCGCTTGGGGCTCTCCTCCGAGGCGGAGGACGCGTCGCACGACTCGATGATGAGCTCGCTGTCCAGCTCGGCCTCGCGCTCCTCCCTCAGGATGCTGTACTGGATGGACGGCGAGGCGGGCGACGGCGGCGGGCCGCCCACGTGGCCGAAGGTCACATAGCCCGAGGGCAGCGCGTCCTCGGCGGCCAGCGGGTCCTCGGACACCAGCTCGATCTCCGAGTCCCCGGACTCCGCGCTGCTGGCCTCGTGGTCCAGGGGGCTGGGGAGGGTCGGCAGCCCGGACCGGGCCTTGGCCTCGGGCCTCTGGGGCCCCGGGCCCGCTGGCCTCGGGCTCTCGGCTGTTTCGTAGGCCAACCCCTTTGCTTCTTTAATGGCAGTGATCAGCTCATCCTCGGAGATGCTGCATTTCCCCTGGGATTCTGCGGCAGACGGTTCTGTCGTCCCACGAATCGAGAAAAGAGCCGGAGAGGCACACACGCGGACAGACAGATGGACACAGAGAGAAGAAATAAAACAAAATTCCGTGAGGGGAGATGTTTTCTTGTTGCTCGAGAAACACATATCTCATTAGCACAAAAATAGTCTGTTTCCAGGGCTATGCTGAAAAGGCAGGCCACCTGAAGAAGAGGCTAATTACTGTTATGGCCCAATTAATCAGTGTTTTGCATACCCTTCTATCTTAACCTAGCTACTTTAAAAAATGACAAAGCAATTTCTTGGCAACAGCCCCTCAGTGGGTTTATCTATTTCAATGTGACAAAGATTCTAGAAGTCATGGTTTTAATTTCTGACCCCTTATCAGCGAACTTTTCCAAATTCACAGATTTCATCAGGTAATCTGATGTACAGAACCCTCTAATTTGGCCCACCAGTATCAACAAATCTGAAAACCACCCATTACTCCTCATCCTTTCATGTTCCTTCTTTCAATGGATCCTTGTATAGAATCTAACTTTTGAGCTTTACATTCCCCATAAGAAGCAATACCTTTACTCTTTTTTAGTGAAAAGTGTAACAAAGTAGAGCAATAGAAGAGAAAGTTTTTGCCGGTTCTCCTGAGCAGGCTATGCAGATTACCGTAATGCACAATCTCCCTGGGCTTCTAATGGTAGAGCCCACTATCATTCTTTTTCCTTTCTTCCCCTCCTCTTGAGAAGAACAAAACCTGAGAGTCACCCCCAGTCCCCTGGGTGAATGCTTGCCTTCTGCCTGATGTTTATCCAGATGGCCTGAAAACTTCACCAGCAATCTTGCTGATATTTCTTTCCCTTAGATGAGATGACCCAGGATCACCATGACAACAGCTTTTGGGAGCTTGGTTTTTTCCCTTGTCGTATAGTAGGGCCTTATTTCACAATATCCCAAACAGTGGTCTCTGGCCCTTTTAAAAGCCAGAAATATTTTTCATTTCTCCAAAGCTTTGATGTCACTGATTTGGCAGGGGGAAGGGGAGCAGACTATGGCTAGGTAATTTGTTGCTTTAGGATTGTGGGAGAACCCAATAGACAAAACATTTTAGATTTGTCTAATTCTTTATAAAACAGCATTGATTTTATCCTTTATCCACACAGCATTCATTCATCTATTATTTATTGAGAACCTCCTGTGTGTTAAGCTTTCTTCTAGGCATTTGGGACATTTAGTGAATGAAACAGGTAACAAAATCTCTGCTTATATTCTAGTGGAGGAGAACACAATACATAATTATACATAGTAAATGAGTAAAGTTTATAGTAGGCAAGATGTTAAGTGCTGTGAAAAAAAAGGAGTAGAGTAGGGTAAAGGGATCAGGAGGGCTGGAACAAGGTGGGGATGAATCTGCAATTTTAGATAGGATAGTCAAGATAGACCTCACTGAGAAGGTAACCTAATTCATCACATAGGGAGGCAAGAGAGTGGCTCAGGACAATAATCAGAGGAAAAAACATGCCAAACAAAGGGAGCCAATAGTGCAAAGGCCCAGAGGTGGGAGTTGCAATGATTCCTGGGTATCACAAGGATGCCCAATGGGTCTGACCAAAGTCCTGCTTGTACAACATTCCTAGCTGACCATGAAGGCAGCAGGCCAGGCCTCAGGCTCAGAGGGCTACAAGGGGCCCCGTGTGCAAGATGGCCTGGTGCTATGTGGATCAGGAGACTGGCTAGTGTCCACTCATTTTCTACAACTAGGAGACCTGAGTGGCTTTGTATTTGTTTGTGTGATGATTTGATTACCATCTGTCTCTTCACCCTTCTCCACTTTCTTTCACCCCCAGATTGAAAGCACCAGAAGGGCAAAGGGCAGCCAACATCTTTTTGTTCACTGTCATATCTCTAGGACCCAGTGCAGGAGCTGGCTGATGTGAAGACTAGCTGAAATCTTTAGAACAGTGGTTTCTTAATCATGTGCTCAAAACTACCCTCAGAAATTCTGCCTTAGTCGAAGAAAGTCTGAAGGGGCCTACCCATCGTACTTTATAACTCAAAGGGTAATTCTAATAGTCACCTCTAGTTAGGGTTGGTAGATTTGGCAAATAAAAATGCAGGATATCCAGTACATTTGAATCTATGTTAAACTATGCTAAATATGAATATTTTAAGTGTATGTATGTTCTGTGAAATATTAGTATTTTATCTGGCAACCCTACCTCCAGTTGAAAAACACTGAGGTAGAGCATTTAGAAAAGGCTCCAGAATCTTGCTTCATTTACACAAGAGGAAGGATGGTATCGGGCAGCTGTGGGATGTGGGAATGGAAGGGCATGATGTATTTCATCTTGGGCAGGTGAAGGTACTACTCTGAAAGGGATCCATCCTTATTATGAGTCAAAAGCTTCTCGGTAGAAATTATACAGGCTGTCCTTCGTTCTTCATGGGAACTAAAAGTATAACGAAGTACCAGGAGGAATGGGGGGGAAAACTAAAACAAAATAGAAGTTCTTATACTCTCAGTTTTAAAATTGATGGGCCGCTAGCTAAGATATTGGGTCTTATGCGTCACGACTGACACAGCAAAGCTAGAAGCTGTCAACAAAAATACTTGAACAGATTATGAAAACTGAGAAGGTTAGAACTGCCCTGCCTGGGGAGATGGGTTTGCTGCTGCTGCTAATTATGATGATATAATTTAGAATGACAAAAGGGAAGGTGAACAGGGGCCAGTTTACCAAGTTGCAGGTGCCACCATCCAGCTATGAAGGATACTGCCATTTGGTCTCCCCTGTATTCCTGGCTCAGTCATCACTCATCACCCAGAGGGATCATTTGAAAACATATATCTGACCCTGCCACCCTTCCCTTCCTTCTCCCCACTCTGGCCACAGTGACCTTGCAGCTGTTCCTTGAACACACAAGACATGCCTAGCTCCAGACCTCGGCACTGGCTGTCCCCTCAGCCTGGCACCTCTTCCTTGGGTATGAAGGAGCATTATTTGCTCCTTCCCCCACCCCATTCCCTCCCAGCCCTCAACAGGGAGAAGCCTTTCCTCACAACCACCCCCATTACTCTCTCACATTGTATCTTGCTTTATTTTTCTTCATTACCATTACAAATACCTGATACTATATTATACATTTATTAACTTGTGTGTAAGTCTTCCCAACAAGAATGCAAGCTCCATGCAAACAGAAATCTTGTTAGGTTTCCCAGTGGTGATGGGACAATGCCTGGCACGGAGTAAATGGTCAACCCAAGTGAAGGGATAAATGAATGAATGATGCCTATTCCCAGATTAAAACCCTCCAGTGGTTTCCCATTGCATTTGGAACAAAACCCAAATTCTTCATCCTAACACTGGAATCCCAGCCCACCTCTGCAGCTCTGTTCTATGCCATATTTAACCTTTGCTCCTTTAAAAATTAATAAAAGGAAATCTCACTAATGTAGAGCCCAGAGGCTAGATGGGGGTGCTATACCACTCAATGCCAATTACAGGAAGAACTATCAATTACAAACCCCAATAGAAGAATCATCAATAGGAAAGAATGATCACTTACAGGCCCCAAAACAAAAGGATGTATATGAATCTTCTAGGAGAAGCTGATTACCTCTGCAACTAAGGCAATGAAAAATCATCATCACCCTGAACTCTTGCTTTTCTCCCATGGACTTGCATTCAAAACAATCCCTCACAACTTACTTGGTCTTATCCATAAAACAATGCTCCTCTCCTTTGTTGGACTTGCCTATGGGTTTACCATAGATAGCATGTCCTGAATTGTAATGCTCTGCTATTCCTCAATAACCAATGTTTGTTGGCAAAATAACTGTTTATTTTTAAGGTTAATACTTCTTTGCACCATCTTTCAGTTCCCAAATAGTATAGCCTTGGGACATGTGCACTTGCTTTCCTCTGTACTTGGGTCCTCTTTTGACCCCTTCCTTTGAATTGTGAGCTCCTTCTTCTCACTCAGATTTCAGATCACATGTCACCTTCTCAGAGAGGCCATCCTTTACCCCTTCACACTCAACACTCTATCGATCCTTCTAGTAATCAGATTGTAAAATTTCAGATGCTGCATAATTGATTTACTTCTTATTGCTTATTTATTACTAAGACAAGCTGGTTTAATATTGACCTCTCAATTACTATCCTTTCTGAGGCTAACATCTTTAAGAACATCCATGACCACCATAACATACATCTAGGCATTGTGTCAGAAACAACGTGGTGCCAGTCGGCCAATGGTCTGGTGTGCATCAGGACACTGAGCATGTTTTCCTAGAGTGCTTCACTTGTATTCATGACTGATCTTTGCTGAGAAGAAACTTCCAGTGTGTAAGCTGTAAGAACTTTTGCCTCTGTACCTCAGAGTATATTACTAACATGATGAAAATAGTTCAGTACTTTGGAGAAAATTACAAAATGGAATAACCTCCTGGAATTGAAGGAAATATATTAGACTCCTTGCTTAAGCTTCAGGGTCTGTGGCTAAAATTATTCTAAATGAGAATTTCTCCTGATTCATAATTCACATAATTAGAATGATTAGAATTAGATAGATAATTAGAATCATTATTACCAGAATGTCACATACCCAGAGTGCCAGGGGCTCACAAGATGGGGAGGGAACTAGGGTAACCTCTTAGGATAGAAAGAACAAAGAGAAAGGCCTCAGTGACAAACTAATTCCTCCTAGCTTTCCTGTTAATTTTATTCTTACCTGTTGTCATTTGACTCAGGTGTTATGATGTGAGGCATGTGTGGAGAGAGGAGCTGAACATGGGAGAGAACTATGTACTGGTCTTGGCACTTTCTCTTTCTTGAATATACTTTACTTGGAATGTTTATTTGGAGGGCAGCCCAGGTGGCTCCATGGTTTAGCACCGCCTTCAGCCCAGGGCCTGATCCTGGAGACCCAGGATTGAGTCCCATGTCGGGCTCCCTGCATGGAGCCTGCTTCTCCCTCTGCCTGTGTCTCTGCGCCTCTCTCTCTCTCTGTGTGTGTCTCTCATGAATAAATAAATAAAATATTTTTTTAAAAAAAGAATGTTTATTTGGAGCAACTACAGAAAAAAAAAAATGTCTTTGCCCTAATTCAATGCTGTTAAGTGGACAACCCAAGGTCATAAAACTCCACGATCATGTCAGCCAAATCTGTCTTTGTCGTATCTTGAAGTTGCTCCAAAACCCCAATGGGCTATGGTTACCAAAAAAAAAAAAAAAAAAGAAGGAAATTTCTTAATAATCCCTAAACCCTATATCATATCAGGTCTTTCTCATCAGCTCTGCAAACTGTATTTTTTACATTAGGCATGTGCCATGTAGATGAATGAATGTGCTGGAGCATTTCATCCTTCCTGGAGACTGCCTGCAGTTCTTCTAAAGTGACCACCAGACAACCCTGTAGGTTGAGAAAACATGACTGATAGTATAGCTTACATCTTCAGAGCATTATTAATACCTTTATGTCATTGAATAACAGAAGGGTTTTATGGTGCATTATCCTGAAGACCACAAGGAGGCTTCAAGACTCAGGTAAATCCCTAACTCATTTTGTAATCTGGGACAAGTCACATCTAATTCACTTGGAGCCTCAGTTTCCTTATTTGTTGTCACTACTCAAATCTCAATTTATATCCCATGGAAATTCACTGTGGCCTCACACCTCCATGTCCTTGAACCTCCTCAAAATAGAAAGCCACCCTCCCCTTTACCTGGTTATTTCCTCCTGCTCTGCTGACCTGGGACTGCTGGATTCCCAATGCTCCTCAGCACTCTATGTCTCCCTCTCTCAGAACACAAATCACACTGGAGTGTGACTATTTCCTTGGTCATCTGTTCTACTGGAAAGCAGAAACTGGTTTTTTGTTTGCTTGTTTCAGTTCCAGCCTCACCAGTACCTCGTAGAGTGCCTGACCAAAAGAATGTATATAGAACGTGTTTGTTGAGTAAATGAATGAATTTGAAAATTAAGGATGTGGTGCAGTGGATCTTTAAGACCCTTGGAGCTTTATAGGTGAATGAATCTGAGATCAGGCTAGGGAAGGGAAGAAATTGATTCTAAAATCTTTAGGGAAACAGGACAGGAGGGACTTCCATTAAGTTCCCTCAACACCTGCACTTACTGTATTATCAGGATTTAGAGCAATCACTCCTAATAGGTTTTGGATCTGTTTTAAGACTTCAGTAAAAGCTCTTGCACCTGACCACTGAAAATCAATTTTTGGATATAGGAAAGATTTGTAAATCACTTTTGACTAGGGTAGGAATGCCAGCCACTGGAAGAAGGGGAAGATCCAAGAACCTCTCTTTATCTTCTCCATCCTGATGCTTCCTGAACATTGAAGAGAGGTAGAGATGTAAAGGCTCTACCTTTGCCACCTGGGGTGTGGTGGTACAGGGTATAGTGGGGATGCTCCTGCTACTACCCTGACCCCTCACCTGGGTACAGGAGACCCCTTTGTATTTGAGAGGATATACTGAGTGTGTTTTAACTCCCTGCCTTGGGTCACAGTAGGAGAATTTTCAAGTTGAAAAAGATCAGAGCTTAGTGAATTCTGAAATTTTTAATTCTAATCAAATATATTCCCTACATTTAAGAAATAAAACTGAGGGTCATTTGAGTGGCTCAGTCAGTTAAACATTTGCCTTGGGCTCAGGTCATGATCCCAGGGTCCTGGGATCCAGCCCCAAGTCCAGCTCCCTGCTCAGCAAGAGAGTATGCTTCTCCCTCTCCCTCCACCCCTCCCCCTGCTTATGCTTGTGCACTCTCTCTCTCTCAAATAAATGAATAAAATCTTTAAAAATATATAAAAAATAAAACTGTATGCAGAACTTCAACAAGGTAAAAAGACAAAAAATGGCTCCACTGAGTCAACTGAAGGACAAAGAAGAGTATCCTTTTTTTAGGTTTCCTCTCACTGCTCACATCCCCCTAAAAGACGCTGATGTGCACCCCTGCCCCCCCTTCATTGTACAGACTTGGAGCTGAGATGAGGTGAGGAATGTGCAATGCCCTGTCCCAGGTGGCCCAGCTGGTCCAGGGAGGACAGGCAGGATGCTCTCTCTGTGATGTCCCCCCCAGGAGACCTGGAAGTCTGAATGGGAAGCTAATCTAGAAGCAGGCAGCACCTCCCTCTCTGCTCTGAATGGTAGAGTCACATGAGAATTTTCACGTTCCAGTGTATCATCTTTCTTTACCTCTCCCTCAAACGAAGAAACACCTTACAAGACAAATCTGATAGAACTTTTAGGAAAACCCCAATCTCAATCTTTGTACCATGGGCACAAGGCCGAAAAAGATGTATGTTAATTAAATCAGTTAAACTGAGCCTTAAAGGGATCCTATAGTAAAATATTCTGAATGCAAATTCACATCCTTTAATATTCAGATCTCCCTATCCTGTGTTTTCCCAAGGCAGGAACATTCCCTTACCTGTCCCGGAAGACGGGGGTGTGACTGATCCTGGGCTGTCATCTTCAGGCTCCGAGACGGTGACTGTGGGGACCGTGTCAGGACTTGGTTTCAGACAGACATCTTGCTTCTCAGGGGTTTCCTCTTGGGTCGCAGTTTCAACAGAAGGCTCGATTTCAGTCAGCGTGATTTTGACAGGGGCAGTGATCAGAGGAGCGCTGTGCTGTTCTTCAGAGAGATCATCGATATAAGGTGCAAATGTTGATTCTTCAAATAAATGGTCCTTGAGGATTTTTCCCTCCACAGGAACTGGTTTCTCTGGTTCACGAGCCTCTTCGGATTTTGTCAAGATTCCAGTGTCCTTTGTCTTAAAGTCCGAGCCTTTCTCTTCCAGTGCGGGGTGACATTGCTCCTGATATTTCGGCTCCTTGGGCCTGGTTATGTCAATGTATTTATAGGCTTCTGCTTTCATCTGGTCCAGGGGGTCTGCTAAGATTTTGTTCACTTCCACGGACTCTGCAGGAGTCATCTCTATTCCAGAATCAGAACTAAATAAGCCACGAGGCTCTGTCCCAGGCACATCTGGTAAGGAGGGCTCTGGGGTACTCAACTCCCCAGGGCTCTCCGAAGTGGTGACTTGGCCATTTTCCTTCTGAAGAATTCCAGTGAAATACGTAGAATCCTCCTGAGGTGGGTAACAGATGTTGGAAATCAGAGAAGTGTAACACGATCCTTCCCTGTCCTTTGACGCTGTTGAAAAGGTATGATCCCCGGCCCTGGAGACATCTGCCGCACCTATGAATCAAAACAGCAGCAGACAGTGAGTGGGCGTCTGGCTTCCCGTCTCTCTCCTGCTTCACCTGCCACCCACCCTGGTCCTGGGGAGACACGGCATCCTTTCTCCTGAAGCCCTTGGACTTCCTCAGAGCACACTCATCATGTTCATGCTCCTTGTCCCCCTCTGGGCCCACAGCACGGGTGGTTTCCTGGGAGCAGAGTGCACAGGTTCACGTAAGCTGTCACACTCAGAGAAGCTCGGGGACAGACACCCGAGGAACGGAAAGCTGAGTTTTCAAAATCTACTATCTCCTTATACAAGGAACTGGTCCTTCAGGGTATTACTCAGCAGAATCCCTCTTTGTATCTCAAGTATTACTGGCTCTTTAAACACAGCTGGAAATGTGGGCTTGTTCAGGTCTATAAATGCAACAGTGGGACAGCTGAGTAGGGGAATGGGCTGCTCTTGGAGACTCAGATTGCTGGGAGAGGCCCCCAGAGATGCTCTGGCCTGGCCCTTTCAGGCAGAGACATCTGCTTCTCCTGGACTGGTGCTGTCCCTTCTTTTTGTAAAGGTCCTCAGAGAAAGGGACCCCTCGTTTTCTACTGACCTCATCCCCAAGGGGGTATCACCTTAATAAGTGCTTCCCTCTTTCTTCAGTTTTCCCCTCATTTTGTTTCCCTCCTCATTCACCTACCTACCGCCCACTTTCTATCTTCCAGTGATTTTCAAAATAACCCACTGGGAATTTTTTGGTTCCACTGGTGGTGCTAAGGGCAAAACAAGTTTCCTAAGTTTGAGTCTATGCAATGCTTTCGCCTGGCCTTTATTCTATTCATAAACCAGCCAAAACATTTTGCTAATAGCAAGCAAAATTATAGAGGGAAGCCTCTATAATATTTCTCTGCTATAAAATGCTGCCAGAGGGGAAGAAAACTAACATTTATTGAGGCCTTATCAGGTGTTAAGCAGTGGGAAGTTATCTAATTCTCACAACTCTTATGTAAACCGAGCCCCACACTCTCAACACATCACACAAATACACTCACACAAACATGCACTAAGCCCTTAGGATATACTCCAAGAATATTCCAGGGCATCAATTCATAAAAGTAAAAAAAAAAAGTAGTAGCAATAATATAATAATACTAATAGCTAATATCTAAGTGCTTGCCATGTGTCAGAGATAGTTCCAAGCATTAAATTAACTCATTTGATCATCAGAGCAATCCTAGAAGAAGGGTACTATCATTAGGCACATTTTACAGATAAGGAAATCCCAGCCAGGATTCAAATCCAAGAGATCTCAAAGTTAGGAAACATTCCCTAATACCCTTCACACCTCCTTAAGTCACTTTGTGAAGTTTTCTTTAAAGTAATTTTGAATCAGTTTTATTACAAACAAACTTGGCTTTTGTCTTTTCCTAGCTCTATTCTTGGTTACTCAAGCCACTGCATATCTTTGAGGAATGAAAAAGTGCAATGCCTCCAGCATCTCCCACCTTGCACCTGCTGTTTTCCTTCCTTGGAGATCTCTTCCCCCAGATACCTGCCAACCTGACCCCTTCAGCACCAAGTCTGCTCAAATGTCACCTTCCTAAGTAAGATGACCCTGACTACTCTCTCTCTCAAATTTCAACTGGCCCTCCCCTCCCCACCCCCCTGGCAACCCTGTGCTCCCCTACCCTTCTCTGTACCTTTTCTTTTTCTCATAACACTTGTCTCCTTCTACAATATGCTTAATTAACCTATTTATTGATTCCCTATTTATTGATTGTTGAGGTGTGTTCTATGAGGGCAGTTTTATTCACTAAGGTAGCCCGACACCTAGACCAGGGCCTGGCACATAGTAAGTACTCCAATACTTGTCAAATAAAAGAAGGTAATTTTGAAGTTCAGAATAAAACCCAAATAATAGGATTGTGTGAGAAGACAGGTTGGAAGTATTTTAAAGTTTCTTTCACCATATGGGCTCAGTCCATAGGTAGACTTCACTGGAAGCAAGGGGAATCAATCCTGAGGTATTTGTCCACAGACATCTGGACCAGGGGATTCTCTAGCACAATTCTCTGGAAGCACTTCTATGTATTAGTAAGTAATTAGTCACCAGAAAGTAAGGAGGGTCTTGCCCAGGGATATAAAGAGCCTGGCAGTGTGGGGAGTGGGGAAGAGGATGCTCTCCTGGAGAATATGTAGTAGGTGGTGTCAAGGGCTGTGGCAGAGTCGTTATCATTCAGCTCCCACCTGATGCTTCCCCTGCAGGAGCCACCTCAGGGCTCCTGGCCCTGACCACCTATACCCGGCACATGGCCCACAGTCTCCCGCCATCAGTTCTCCTACTACACCCAACTGTCCAATACACAGCCACTGGCCCCAGGGCTCCACCCTGTCTCACTGGGAAATCCTTAAATTCTGCAGCCGGGCATTTGAGATGATATGAAGGCCATACAGCCTCACTCACAGTACTGTCTTGGCTGCTCCTCTCACTTAGCCTCCACTCCGGGCACACAAAGCCCTTTACAACCTCACACTCACTCCGTCAGCCCTTCTAGACCTGCCTTCCACTCGCCAATTCAAACTCTGAGCTCTGGCTAATATAAACAACCATCACATCCCCAACACTTTATCCTTCCAATCTTCACATCCAAATCTCTGCCTCAAGCCATTAAATATAAGTAGCTTGAAATGCTTCCTCCTCCACAATGGATTCGCTGACCACACCTGTCAGAATGTGACCCCTTCCCATTGTCCTCGTTTCTCTTTACTGTTGCAGCTAATTTATTCTGCTTATGCAGTATGTGTCCACGTCATGTCCTACTAACCTGCCACCTTCTGGAGTTTGAGGCTCATGTCTTGCACGCTATAGTGCACATAGTAGGTACTTGATACAAAATGAATAAATGAATGAATGTACCAATCAGTGGGTGAGTAGACTTATCCTACACAGCTACTGAAAACAAATTAGAACTGATGCAAGTTACAAAAAGGATGCTTTTAATCTGTCATGTGAAAGAAAAGTCTAGAATTAGAGTTATTCCACAAGATGATGGTGCTGTGTCTCAAGAATAAGAGTGTTTTAATTCCCTGGGGCACTCAGATAGAGAGGGGCCCAGCACCTGTCTAGGCAGGAGCAAGCATTTAATGGGAGACTGGATAACACAACTGCAGAAGTCCCTTTCAAGCTTCTCTGACTTTTACACTGATTGGCTGCCGCCAGAGTCACACAGCCTCCTTTACTTCTTATCCCTTAACCTATAAAAGAGACTCAATATAATTTTCCCCAAGGTGATGCCATAAAGAATAGAGGCTTCCCAGACATATAATGATAACTCAGGGAATGGAATCTGGGGTACATTTACATTATTTGTGAGTCTATAAATAGAATCAGTAGTTAAGAAGAACTCCTACCCCTGAAATTCTTGTTCTGTCAGCTTCGTCTTGCTCAAAGAGCCCAGCATAAAATTGACAGGACCCTATTGCCATACTCTGCACATACCACCAACTGGAGGAAGAAGAACAAAGCCATGGGGAACCTGGGTGGCTCCACTGGTTAAGCATCTTACTCTTGGTTTTGGGTCAGGTCAGGATCTCAGGGTCGTGAGTTCGAGCCCGGTGACCAGCTCCATGCACTCGGTGGAGAGTCTGCTCAAGATTCTCTCTCCCTCTCCCTCTGCCCCTCTGCCTGCTCACACTCACTTTCCAAAAAAATAAATAACATCTTTAAAAAACGAAGAAGAACAAAGTCATTTGTATAAACCACACATTTTAGATGGGACCATGTTAGGATCCTCATAAAATCAGCAACAATTAATGTCCCATTTTCTTACACTGAGCTGAATATCCTGAACATTTCTCTTAAGTCCTAACTTACTGAAATGTGTATACATTATATAGTGCCTGTTAAATAGAACTCATGAAACTAAAAGTCCTTCTAGACCGTGAATTATGTGAGGGCAGAGTCTTGTGGGATTGTTAGAACAGAGAAGTGGAGCTGAGCCTCAAGGCTCAGGAAAGCCAATTAATTCTTGTCAGCACTTCCTGCAGAGCTGCCCAATGTGAGAACTGAGGCAGAGAGCAAAAGCCAGTGGCCCCAGGTTGGAACCAATATTGTTACATTGTTAAATACAAATCCAACAAATAAAAGCGCTTTCCTTGTCTGGGCTAGAAATGACTACTTTTTTTTTACATAACCAAAGATTCGTTGGAAGGTCTGACTTCCTCATTCTCGCTGGCGGTTGCCTTGGCCGTCTAGAAGTTTGATCTGGGTGGAGGCAGATGTACATCAAGAATCAACGTGTGGATCTGCAGATGCTCTCTCAAGAGGCAGCGGCGAGACCAGAGGGCACAGTGAATTCAGTTACCTGCATGCATTTAAAATGGGATTGAACCTTCAATCTTCAGTTGATGCCTGGCAACTGGGTGGCTCAATGGTTGAGCTTCCGCCTTTGGCACAAGTTGTGATCCCGAGGTCCTGGGATCGAGTTCCGCATCAGACTCCCTGCAGGGAGCCTGCTTCTCCCTCTGCCTGTGTCTCTGCCTCTCTCTGTGTGTCTCTCATGAACAAATAAATAAAATCTTTAAATAAATAAATAAATAAATAAATAAATAAATAAATAAATAAATAAATAAAATTTCAATTTACAAGTAGGTGTTTAGGAATGTGCTTACAAAAACAAAACAAAAAAACCTCCACAAAACCCTGAAGGACTCTCATAGGCCACTATTTCTAGCCAAAAGCTAAGAGGAAGAAGAATGAAAACAAGCTCAAACTATTGTCATTGGATCACATGTGTGGATAAAATCAGGCTTTTGTGTCTACTCATGTCCTAGGTCAAAAATACTAATAATGAGCTAGACAAATTCTGGGACTTCATAAAAGGTGAGAGTTTTATTTTATTTTATATTTTTGATTCCCTGGCAGTACTAATGAATGAGGTGGTAAAGACAACTTGCAGAAGATGGTTTTACATTCTCCAAGGAAAGTTTCAATCCTAAAATCCTTTAGTTCTTAAACTCT